GACGTTCGCTGTAGTATTCATTTCCCCCTTTTTAGGCGTTGAGGGTTGCAGACTGCACTGTTCAACAGCAGCCAAAGCCTTCGGCCCGAAGCCTTCGGTCCGAAGGCTTCGGGCCGAAGGTAGTAACAGATATCCCTTGTGAATGCGTATGTCGTAGTAGCTCTTGGTATAAGTCGACTTTATTCGGTGGGGCGGTGATGTCACCATCTCAATATGTGACTCTCTACAATCACCTCAGCAGATGCACATGATTGAAAGATGAACAGGAGATGGCATATCTGCCCCACAAGCGGGATTGATACTACCGAGGGTTATATTATTGAGTCATACGAATGTCGAAATTGGTGGTACTTCGACTCTGTGGATGAGATTGATCTTTGTACGCCGCGGGCCTGTCAAGTTGATTGTATTGATGTATATGTTGAAGTGGTAGCACAGCCGCTCGCACGGCGAAATAGGCTTTGAAACGGTGTAGAAGTGGAACGATTGTTGTTGATTGTAGATACTGAGGAGTGTCGGTTCTTTGAACACTTTAGTAACGCAACAAGCCATACTCAAAAAAGAATCTCATCCATAAACAACTTCTTGCAAATAGTATGATGATCATGCTATGATCGTGTCGAATTCTATGAGGTAAGCGCTCAATCGAAGAGCACCGCTCCTATGGTGGCCACCATTAAGAGCGTGGCCTTTATGGTTGCTCCAAGCACTTGCTGGCCATGCGAGAACGAGCTGAGATGGACAAGATAACCAGTAATAGTTTGAGATGCTCAGTATCTTACCTGCTACACCCTCCGCGAAGTCCACTGCCCACGGCATCTACCGGAGGAGAGGTAGGCGCCGGGGAGGCGCTAGTTTCAGTGGTCGTAGTGATCTTGGGAGGAACAAGGGGATCATTACCCTCTTCATCCTCAAGCTGTTTGGAAATGATATCGCTCATCTTTGACCACCAGTCGCTCTGGTTTGTCTCGCTAAGGGTGCGGACAGGCAGGCCAGGGGTGGCGGGAGAGAAATTACTCTCTGAGGTCAATGTCGTGCCGAGGACGGCGATGAAGCAAGCAATAACCTTCATGATCGTCATTGATAGGATTGATGTGATAACGCTGAAGGATGAAAGTGTTGCGGTTACCCTGGCTACGACTTGTAGCCTACAAGTACTTGCTATTAGCAATTTGCTACATGATGTCACTCCGTAGCCGGGAGCGGTCGCGAGCCCCGGTCGCGAGAAAATTGTATTTCTCGCGCGCCACTTTTCGAGCCTCATCATTTCCAGGACCGCGAAATCGATCATGTCGGGCTGGCATTGGAAAGCTGTCGCTAGTTTATGGGATCACAGTGTACG